TGATAATGAGCTGCACAAGCCTTTTACAAATCTATTGTGAATAGCCTTCAGCCATATATGTGTCACCTTAAGCTTAGTTTAAAATTTTAAAAAGTCTCTCCTTTAAGACATTTAAATTTTGTGACTACAAAAGCAGGTTATCTAATCTTAAAATGGTACACAGCTGCTGCCTCTTGTTCTGCCTCAACAGTGGCTTTCCTGGACTGGTAAATTTATTTGGAGGGGCTGCCACACCCAGTAAGAAACTCCTTTGGGGATAAACAAAAACTCCCAACACAAAACAATCTTCAGCCATCCTCAGTTTAAACAATTCCTTGGTTGGTTCTTCCCCAGTAATTGCCAAGCTTTGCCCAACTCCATGGACCCTTTATATACATAGTTTAAAAATGCTCAGATTAGTTCATTCAGTAATTTGCATGCACACACAATTTGAAAATGACCATACACTTCATCTTAAGAGACATATTTTTGGCCCAAGAAGTACAAGGGACCTGGAGCTTTGCAAAACCTCATAGCTGGGGCTGATGGATAAATGTTGAAGGGTGTCTGAGGAAAAGTTGAGTGCTGGCACGAGAGTGGTGAGCAACAGTCAGGGCTGTTAGTTTGTGTGAATGAGTTGGGGTTGTTGAGATGATGTGGGGATAGACGTACCTGGATAGAAGGGGGAAAGTTCAGTGGGAAAGGATCTGATTTTGGGAAAGGTAGGAATTGCTGGGGGAAGCTGAGTTTGCAGATGTTTCTGGAAAAAAGAGCTGGATTTGTGGAGTGTCCAGTTAGGTATGGAAAATGCTGCGGGGGGCAGCATAGTTTGTGGGGGGGATAACCCTGTGTGCGCGCTCTGGGGAAATTTTTAGGGGCAGCCGTGCAGCTGGTTGAGCGTTAGGAGTTGGGTGGATGGGAGTGGCTAAGAGGCCATGACTGGGGCCCCCTCCTCACCTGCTAGTCCCATTTGCCTGTGCTTTCAAGCTGCTTTTTTCCTTGCTCCTGTCCAGGAGCAGCACAGTGTAACAATATGTGGCTAGTTACCACCTATTACAATGTTACATACGAAAAAGGTCACCCATAGTAACCCACGATTTTCATACTTTTTTCCCCTCAGCCATGATGCATTGTTTCCCAGGCTACAATTTCCAGGCACCATTCAGGTAATTACAATTTCCTTAATCTGCTCTTGTCTTAGTCCAGGCTTGTCCTATTGCCTGCCTTAAAGAGCCCCCACTTGGAGAAGGGATGTGTTGGCCCACACTTAAAGGAGGAGCACACCCTGAATCAATGACCCTGACAAATCTGTCTTGGTGCTCTCAACCAAGATGAGGTGAGATTCTGGGTAGCTAATGCTTGAGTCATTTGTGTGTTAGTATTTGCTGATCTCCCTTTCTCATACAAAATCACTTGTCCTTCATAGTAGAAATAACAGGAGTAAATACCACAGTTATACATATCCTCAGGGAAGTCAGATTTTTCTTGTTTAAAAAAATTCTCCTCTTTGGTCCCCATCATTTTGAATACTAAACAGTTTCCCCCATGTACAATGGGTAGTTGCTTTCACCTTTTCAAAAAAAGCACGGTATAGGCATTTGTGCAAGGTACTTCAGGGGTTACACAAGAAGAGTATTTAATTATATACACATTATGAAGTACCTGTTCAATAAACTCATAATGCTTTCACCTGTGTCATTTTTGAACTTTCTTAAAGGTAAGCAATATGTCTCCCAAGGTTTGCTTGAGGAAGAACAAAGAGATAGATAATGTTCAACCAGCTCTGAAGCAGTAGTCACTATAGTGAACTAGCCACACTTAACTGGCCAAATAGTCATATGTGACTAGTGACTTCGGCACCCACGAGTCTATAATGATCTGGGCTGACTGCAGTGGTGTTGGAGCTGAACCAATGCAGTCGTGGTTAGGTTAGGAAACTTTCATGAGTGTGGAGGAGTCTGAAGCATCAGGGAGTGAATTGGAGAAGACAAAATGAAGCACAAGCACAGTGATAAAAGTGAGGAGGGAATTAGGATGAGAACTGGGGAAGCAAGTGTGGTTAAGAGTTTTTCTGAAGGTAAAAGCAAAGGAGCCAAGGTGAAGCTGAGAAAGGATGTAAAAGAGGACAGAGGAGGAAGAGGACGGGGCCAAAGGGGCAGCCTGTATGGTGAGAGGCTCAGGTTCACGTAAGTCAGATAAGGGGATAATAGAGATGAGGAGGAGGGAAGTGATTCCTGATGCCTCACGTGTGTCATACCAAACTTCAAAACAATTGGCAAAATCCTGGGAATAGAGGAGACATCAGAGCACGTCTGAGAGAGAGACGTGGGGCATGAAAAATGAAGGAATTCTCAAGGGAGAGAGGCATGCGAGTATATCAGGGAAAAGTAGAATTGTTTCAGCTCCCTGTTGCTTGTTAAAGACAATTTACAGTGAAATATAGTCATAGGGCTTTCCACAGAGGCCCTTAGCAGAGCTATACTATAAAAAGAGGCTGGCAAAGGCAAGGAGAAAGCCAGACTTGGTTGAAGATGTAGCAGACAGATGAGAAAGGGAAGCAAAAGCAATGAGAGTAACAGCTTCCAGCATAGTGAGTATATAAGGGTACGTTTCAAACCTGTAGTAAAGAGGAGTGAGGGTGGACTGTCAGGTGTCTCAGGTAATAGACCAATAAGCTATATCAGGGATAGTACAATAAGTATTGAGAAACGTATAGAACGCAGAGATGAACCTGGCTGAGATATCACTCCTGAGGTTGCCCAAGACCCAGAATAGGCAACTGCTTGAGGCCACTGTGGACTAGTGGACTGTACACTGCTGGTTTCTACATAGCGATGGTGCCGCTAGAGCTCATTGCAGAGCAGTGAGAGAAGATGTCCTACTGCAGCATGAGGCACAAGGCAGCCTTTCCGAGAAACGTTTGGTCAGAGCTTCAAGAACACATGCTTGACAACTTTATCATTCTAGAACGTGCTTGAGGACAAAATACAGAGTCATGTCAAAGTCTAACACACAGAAGAATTTTCATCACTGCCTAGTTCTGCAAAATCAGTTCGAAGCCATACCCCCCTGAGCCAGCAATACATCATTTGTACCCTAAATCCAAGCTCAGAATACAAGTAATTTATTTTTGTGTTGGACTCTGAGCCTGAAAAAACAAAGCACCGGGTCTTTGTTTTCATGTTTGCTTTATAATTTTATTCATAAAGACTATATACTATTAATTACCACTTACTGGATTGCATGCAAGCATTATTTTAAATTGTCTATGTATTTCAGTGCTGACATACAGGTTTGGGTGTATTTCTTGTTCTGCTTGCAATACATCAACTTTCTAGAAGACTTACCTGGGTCCTTCAGCAGGCGTCTGGGAGGTACAGGAGTCAGGGCAGAGCTTTGGGGACGTGGGGTGCAAGACTGAGGGTTGGGGGTGAGGATGGGAGAGGCTGGGGGTACAAGAATTTGGGCAAGGGGTTGGTTGGAAGGGGAGCTCAGGAGATGGAGAACTCAAAGAAGAGGGACTTAGGGGCGGAGGGAAGGCGGTTGCCAGCTTTTCCCTAGGAGGCGGGGACCACACATCCTGCTCCCTGGCTTGTCCCTGAGGTAGGAAGGGATTCAGCTGCACACCCTGCCCTCTGGTTTCTCCAGGGGCCTGCCTGGGGGGGAACGCACACTGCCTGCTGGCTTCTACTTTTTCCTGATATACTCACATGCCTCTCTCCCTTGAGAATGCCTTCATTTTTCATGCCCCACGTCTCTCTCTCAGACGTGCTCTGAGGTCTCCTTTATTCCCAGGATTTTGCCAATTGTTTTGAAGTTTGGTATGACACATGTGAAGTACCAGGAATCACTTCCCTCCTCCTCATCTCTATTACCCCCTTATCTGACTTACGTGAACCTGAGCCTCTCACCACACAGGCTGCCCCTTTGGCCCCATCCTCTTCCTCCTCCTCTGTCCTCCTTTACGTCCTCTCTCAGCTTCACCTTGGCTCCTTTGCTTTTACCTTCAGAAAAACTCTTAACCACACTTGCTTCCCCAGTTCTCATCCTAATTCCCTCCTCACTTTTATCACTGTGCTTGTGCATCCCACAGCTCAGAGGGAACACTGGTGAAAGGGAGTTTTCTGAACAGAATTTTTTAAAGAAAGGAGCACAAATGAACACATTTACCTGACCTCCCTTCCCCTTCATCAATGGTTTCCACTTCAGGACTTGTTTTGAGTTGGGTTTGACTGGCTGTTGGAGGGTGAGAACAAGCATCTTTATTTCTGTGGCAATTCCACAGCTGGGATTATGCTTCCCCTTCTTCCCTCAGGCTGAGGAAGTCCAGAGCTTCTCTTGACATGGGCTGCAGCATAAGGCTTGCCTCACATTTTCTTAGCCACACCTCCATCGGGTAACATACCTGTGCACTTGGCTTGCAAAGGTGGGCTCATAGTAAGAGAATAATGTCCAAAACAAGCAGGGATGTTACACTGGGGGACAGGTTTCTGGTCTCTCAACTCATAAGGCCTCTAGACCCTGTGTTTGGATTCAATAGAGAAACTCCGTAGTGTCATACTACCCTTGGAGCCACCTGCTGAGAGCCCTCAGCAGCAGAATTCTAAACTGGCACCAAGAAAAATATCACCGACATACTGATATTTTAATACAGAAAGCTTACTATTTTCCTACACCTCAATTGCTTACCATTATGACATGTCTCCATTCAAGTTGTGTTGATGAAACATGAGCAGTATCAGCCCTTTGGTTTTCAGCTGAAAAGGAGATTTTCAAGCCTGGCACTTAGCAAACACATCTTTTTACCTGTAAAGGAACATATCTAAAACCGAGATCACTGAACAAATTTGTAGTTAAAAATCAACATATCTGACCTTTTTTACTTGTGAAGGCATGTGTTTGATACAGAAATCAGAGTTAGTAACACGAGTTTCTCAAGGCCATCTTCTCTGAAATGACTGTTCAGTCATATAATCATATACTAAATCCTTGTTAACACAAAATGCAGGCAAGAGAGTTCTATTATCTTTAAAGCTTTCAGGTGGGGTGAAAGGATGTTTTACACAGAAGTATCTAGCTCCTTTTTTATTTTGCCAGAGTCTGATTTATACATAAAAGTTACGTCAACTTTGGTACGTCACTCAGGGCTGTGAAAAATTCCAGACAGTGCAATGTTGTCTCAGTTGATGCAGCTAAGTCAACAAAGTAATTCTTTCATCAGCCTTCTCAAAAGGCTGGTAGATTTACTAGTAACAACAGGAAAATTCCCGTCCACCGCTGTAGTGCCTACGCTATAGCAGCATAGCTAAAGTATGTTGTAGTAGCATTTGTAGTATAGATATACCCAAGAAAGTTTGTGGGTATGTTTTGAATCTTTGAATGGTCTTTTTCTTTCCCTCTTTCAGATGCATAGGATTTAATTCACTTCCATTGCTTCATTTTGGAGAATGATGTATTGGCTGCATGGGCACTGATCCCATCCCTCCAGAAGGCCCCAGGTGTGGTACAGTTGATGGAGTTCTGCTACATAGGATGAGGGAAAACAGGATTTGCTGAATACAGAGGCCGAAATGCTCTGCATTCCACAGCTCTCAGGGTACCTATCTACACAGTAGCAAGAGGAGGAATGGTTGGGGTGAAGAGACAGGCTGAAGCCAGTGGATCTATTACTAGCAGAAGAGAGGTTCAGGAGTGACTTCTCTTCTGCTCCACAGCATAGGAAGACTAGTGAGACTTCCCCATCCCAAGATAATCCCTTTTTGGCATCAACACCTGGATTTAGCTCTCTAAAAGAACAGCAGATATTTACATGGTTCTATGTCGCTGTCATACATCTACTACAAAATCAAAGATTAAAAACATAATGATGTGGCTCAGTATTGAATCAAGGAATATGAGACTGCCTCTGACTCTGCTTGTCTGGTCTCAAAATTGATTCCAATCACTCAGGACTTACCCTCCTTCATAGTCTTCCCTGTGTCCTGTGAGCAACCAAAAGACCATAGTTATTGCAGGCTCCTAAACAGTATTAGTACTGTAGCTTATTTTGATTTAAATAATGTATATCAATAACTGAATGATTTAGTTTCTAATGTCAAAACTCTAGTTTGGAAGGCTCTGAGTTTGTAGAATCTGACTTAACATTGGTACTAAATTCCTCTATCTCCACATCAGAGAAATTGCCCCTTCTCTCCCTATCAACTGGTTACAATATTTTATTTAAGCTTACTTCTACAGGTAAAGCATTTTGACTGTTAATCACAGAAAAGGACATATTCCTCCTTTTCTCTTTGGAGGTCAAAGCAGGTTCACAGCAGGCTCTAAAATATTTGCACTGTTTTTGTTTCCACTGAATGCAAGGAAAATAGGGTATTGAGTTCATTAAATAAAATAAAATAAACGCAAAAGTCATTTTCATAACTCAGATGTTCAGATTTCACCGCTCAGAAATAAGGATGTCAAACGTGTCCAGCTTGTACAGCCCTCCTACGCAGCAACCACAAGTCTCAACGATAAGTCACTGAAACCACAGGATTCAGCTTTTTTTGTCCATGACTAGCGTTACCAAATGGGTGCTCTTGTTGTAGTGCTGGGTTTGATCGCACAATCATTTTTCCAAAGTTCGCTTAAAATGCTGATCTCTGAAAAAAAAGAAAACCACATCATGCAAAGCAACTATTCAGTATAGCTTTTTAAATTTTTTAAAATGCATGTATACATACACGTCAAAAGGATCAGAGTAGAAGATCTTAACAGAAGCCATTTTCTAGGCATGCCACACAGGATTTGTCATATTTAAGGAGGGTACATTTCAATGTCCTTTCGAATGATACCTTAATTGCCAAAAGCAAAGAAATAGAACTTGACTGCACATAAAATTTGTGCCACTAACTATATTAGTATAGGTAAACAGTAGAATCACTAGTGTGTGAGCAAAGTGATTGGGATAAGGGTGTGTTTTACCTATACAGCATTTCTTATATGGGACATGGAGTAACTCTATTGGTATAAGGCATAACTTTGTCCTCACTAGGGCTTTTGCTAGTGTAACTATATTAGTTAAGTAAATCACACCAGCAAAGTAAACATTCGAGTACAATGGGAAGATAGGTCTCTGAGCTGTCTCTGTCCTCCTCTTCCTTAAAGGTCAAATTTAGCTCCAAACTTAAGTTTATTAAAAAATTAGGGGCCTGCTTCTGCTCTCACTTGCACCAGTTAAAAACCACTGACACTCAATTACTCCTGATTTACCACTGAGAGAAGACAATTGGGCCTGAGATTTTACAAAACCCAGGACAAACAGAAATGCTGCTATGGTTTTTAAAATTCATTTTTTTTAAAAATTCAACTTACAGTATTTACAGTCTAAAGATAACATCACCATTCTAATGCATTAGAAGAAAATGTCTTCACCTAAAACTAAAAGTAACATTCATTAATCAAAAATGCATAGTAGTCCAATATTAAATTAGATGTTTTGAAAGTTTTAATTTTAAATAATCTGTAGTATATTTGTTTAAAAAAACAGATAAAGGGATATCCAATAAATTTGTAACATAACATTATCCCTGCACAGGTATTGGAAAGACCTCACAAACTATTTATTTTAATACCATGCGTATCATTGTGATTTTAGTGCAATACAAGGAATGGCACTAAAGGGCATGCCAGAGTTTTCAATACAGACTATGATCTCCATCCAAAACCCATTAAAGTTAATAGTAAGATTCCCAGATTAGGCTTGCCTATCAGTCTTGAATGTAAAGTTTTGCAGCTTTTTTTGGCTTCTGGTTTTTAAATAAAGAAGTCTTTATTATTATTATTTTTTTTGCAAATGTAGTTTCTCTTGTTTCTTACTGATAGAGAATAAAACAAAGGCAACTCTCTTGTAATCCTGACCTATCCTGCTACCTTTATTTGCCAGATATGCCCGTCCAATAAGAAAAGAACAATTTTTTAACTTTATTTAAACCAGATTTCTTCTTGTATTCTTACTTTACATCACACTGAGTTGTGTTCCAGTATATTATGTCATTACTCTTTACAATATACATTGTACACACCGTGAATGGAGTTTTCATTATGTGTCTGTTATTCTAAGAGAACTCTTAGGTAGCAGAAAATAGTTTGTTGCTCAGTGTAGCTTGAATGATGACAGACCTACCTCATGAGAAGGGCTGAAGCTCTCCAGCACAATGAAAATACCCTAACCACACTAGACCATGAGCAAGCAATACTTTCAATATGGAGGAAGAAGAGGCTCCTCTCAGTCTGTCATTTCACCATCAATCCCAATCCCATTATTTTGGGGCTGGCTGAATTTCAGTTTCCATAATTATATTTTGCTTCCAAAAAATGGAAAGGTTACAATGTTTCTCACTTCCTGTCCTAAAATGTTATGTTACACTTCAGAGGTGACTACACTTTAATGGTGGTTAAGCTTATTAGTACACTACTAAGTGCATGTGATATTTTACAGAAGACAGAGTAAAACTGGGTTTTGGCACTATAATGTTCTGGAATGAGAAAGTTCAAAGATATTACTGATGATGTTGAGAATGCTTCATGAAATAAGCAAATTTCAACAGATGCGTAGAGAGAAAGAGGAAAGGTGCCATCCAGGAAGCACGAGGCTGTTCCAAAACTTCATATTTGTCTATACACAGACAACTCAGGAAAAATTAATCTGAACTGACGTTTTAGTAGTTAAACTGCACTCAGAATTGAAGTGGCCTTAAATCAGTTTAGTTTAACTCCCTGTGAAAGTGGGTTAAACTGAACAACAGGAATTCTTGTTCTGCAAGAACAATGTCCCCAAATAGAGTTGTTCTGAAATAGCATTATACTTTAAATTCATAACTTTCTTTAACCTGCATTCTCTTTCAAGTGGACAGAAATGCTAACAAGTGGCAGAATATTAGATGCAAACCCAAGTGGTTGAGAAGGACAATGTGAACAGCTAGGAGAAAAAGTGTGAATGCATATTGAGGTGGTGGAAGACAAGATTAAAGATAAATTGTCAGAATTTTGAAGATGCCCATGATATGTAGCTTATCTACCAATGTTTTGTCATGAAAATGCGCTCATGGGAATAGTCTCATTAACTTCTTGTGAATAGATATGCATGTGCATATTGGACCCAAACTTTGATTCATGCTCCGGACTCATTACTAACTGCTGCAGCAACAGTCTTTCTTATTGACAAGAATCTAAATGGAAACAAAATATGAAGTCATACCGCTAAACAGATACATAGTGGGATAATCAAGTTGGGCAAAACCAAACATTCATCACGAAATTGGGAAATGGCTTTGTGGTCATATGACACGCTCAAGTGGTGTGGTCTTAGCAAAGATAAAAAAAAGTTAAAAGGGTTGAGATCTAGGCAAGTTGAGAATTACATAGACCATGCTGTAGAACAATATTTTTACTTGCATGGGAAGCTATTTTTACATAGGTCATATTACTGTTACTTTTACATTGCCAGTTTTTTGCATTTAAGTTGAATGGCACTATATCTAAAGCCTAACTGCAATAACTTAAATGATGTTCATCAGAATAACATGTTTATTTTCAAATCTGCTAAGAATTAGAATGGTAGGAAATGTTTAGCTCGATGCAAAAGTTCCCACACTTAGCCTTCGTACAAGCTCAGCCTGTGTTCATGAGGCTTGTTAAAACTTTTTTAGGTCCAGAAAGGGCTAAGCTGAAAGCCCACTGAAGTCTATTGGAGTCTTTGCACTGACTTCAATAGGCTTTAGAGACAATGACTTAACTGTCTACGTTGTAATGAAACCTGACTATGAAAGCTGAGTTGGTACAAATCTAAATCTTTTTTAACATCAGGACTTGCAACATGGTTCTGTGTGAATGGTATGACTTACTGATTCAACCCCCATCCCAACAACCTTCCTTCAAGTTTGAATTGCTTCCAGGCATGAGCAGTGTTTCAATATAAGTTCCCACACAGTACAGAATTTTTTCCAAGCTGTTTGGGGAGCTTTTCATACCTAACCCTGGACCATTTAAGTAAATCTTATGGTGGAAGTTGCACTGTATTTTGCCTTGATCCTGGATTGGCCAAGTCCATTAGTAGGGTCATCTGACTTTCAGTTAGTTCTTCAGATGGAGAGGAAGAGGCAATTACATGGAGAAAATGTATTTGTTTCACTGATATTTGAACAGACCAGTAGTATTTTATTCCAGAACACAAACAGATATGAACACAGGCACACAAACATTGCATTTTTTGTAATTATCCATTAATAGGAAGTACCTTAATATTGTGACTAAAGTTATGCTTATCATAGTTGGCTCAGAGATAAGGTAGATGAAGTAATATCTTTTATTGTATCAACTTCTGTTGTTGAGAGAGACAAGCTTTTCAGCTAACACAGAGCTGTTTAGTCTTCTCTGTATAAACTCAAGAGCTTTTCTCTCTCAACAACAGAAGATGGTCCAATAAAAGATATTGCCTCACCCGCCTTGTCTCTCTAATATCCTGAGACCAACATGGCTACAACTACACTGCACATATAGGGGTTTCAGTTTTATAAAGAGGAATTTTCTGTGATATGAATTTTTGTTTGCCATCAGTCTGAAAAGAGTTGGAAGTTTTTCAAAAGGACATTATTAAGGGCCCAAAAGCAAATTATTCCGCTGCATAGGAAAGATAGAAAGTACGACAAAAGACATTCTTGGTTTAACCAGGAGATCTTGCATGATCTAAAAATCAAAAAGGAGTCTCATAAAAAGTGGAAACTAGGACAAATTATAAAGGATGAATATTAGCAAACAATACATGTCAAAAAGTTATTAGCTGGAAGTCAGCCTTCTAAATCCACATGCAAATGTGCAATTATAATAAACTAGGGGGCTGTGCTCTCTTCTCGCTACGCTTGCCTATGGCCCCCCCACCCCGCTAGCTGCTTTCACTTCACTGAGAGAGCCTGTTGATGCAATGACGTCATTCTGTCACCCAGAGGAACATTCAGGAAATTGTATGTGTGTGTGTGTGAGTGTGTGTGTATATATATATATATATATATATGAATGAGAGAGAGAGAGAGAGAGAGACACACTAAGGACAGGGTAGGTCCATTGCTCAGTGAAGAGGGAGAAACAACAACAGGAAACTTGGAAATGGCAGAGGTGCTTACTGAATTCTTTGTTTTGGTCTTCACCAAGAAGTCTGATGATGAAGGAATGCCTGACATAGTGAATGCTTGTGGAAATGGTGTAGGTTTAGAAGATAAAATAAAAAAACAAGTTAAAAATTACTTAGAAAAGTTAGATGTCTGCAAGTTACCAGGGCCTGATTAAATGCATCCTAGAATACTTAAGAAGCTGATACCTCCTCTATCTGAGCCTTTAGTTGTCATCTTTGAAAAACCATGGAAGTCAGGAGAGATTCCAGGAGACTGGAAAAGGACAAATATAGTGCCCATCTATAAAAAGGGAAACAAGAACAACCCAGGAAACTGGGTAAGGGACCAGTCAGTTTAACTTCTGTGCCAGAAAGATAATAGAGCAAGTAATTAAGGAATTAATCTGCAAACATCTGGAGGATAATAAGGTGATAGGTAACAGCCAACACGGATTTGTAATGAACAAATTACGTCAGACCAATCTGATAGCTTCCTTTGATAGGATAACAAGTCTTGTGGATAAGGGAGAAGCACCTAGACTTTAGTAAGGCATTTGATATGGTCTCTCATGATCTTCTTATCCATAAACCAGGCAAATACAACTTAGTTGAGTGCATAAGTGGCTGGATAACCATTCTCAGAGAGTAGTTATTCATGATTCACAATCATGCTGGAAGAGCATAACAAGTGGGGTTCTGCAGGGGTCTGTTTTGAGACCGGTTCTGTTCAATATCTTCAGTAACGATTTAGATATTGGCATAGAAAGTACGCTTATTAAGTTTGAAGAGGATACCAAGCTGGGAAGGGCTGCAACTGCTTTGGAGGATAGGATCATAATTCAAAATGATCTGGACAAACTGGAGAAATGGTCTGAGAAGTTTAATAAGGACGAATGCAAAGTGCTCCACTTAGGAAGGAACAATCAGTTTCACACACACAGAATGGGAAGAGACTGTCTAGGAAGGAGTAGTGCAGAAAGGGATCTAGGGGTCATAGTGGAGCACAAATTAAATATGAGTCAACAGTGTGACACTGTTGCAAAAAAAGCAAACATAATTCTGGGATGTATTAATAGGAGTGTCGTGAGCAAGACATGAGAAGTCATTCTTCTGCTCTACTCTGCACTGACTAGGCCTCAATTGGAATATTGTGTCCAGTTCAGGGCACCACGCTTCAAGAAAGATGTGGAGAAATTGGGAGAGGGTCCCGAGAAGAGTAACAAGAATCATTAAAGGTCTAGAGAACATGACCTATGAAGGAAGACTGAAAAAAACTACGCTTGTTTAGTCTGGAAAGGAGAAAACTGAGGGGGGACATGATAGCAGTTTTCAAGTGTCTAAAAGGGTGTCACAAGGAGGAAGGAGAAAAATGGTTCTCCTTGGCCTCTGATGATAGGAGGCAATGGGCTTAAACTGCAGCAAGGGAAGTTTAAGTTGGATATTAGGAAAAACTTCCTGCCTATCAGGATGGTTAAACACTGGAATAAATTGCCAAGGGAGGTTGTGGAATCTCCATCTCTGGAGATATTTAAGAGCAGGTTAGACAGACATCTATCAGGGATGGTCTAGACCAGTAGTCCCCAACCTTTAGATGCTGCCAGGCGCCAGGGGGCGTGGCCATTCACCTGCCGGGCGCCAGAGGGCAGGGACACATGCACGCCCGGGGGCAGGCGGCCCCCCCCATAGCCGCATGCCCGGGGTCAGGGCCCCCCCCCAAGCGCCGCCTTCTCAGTTTTTGTGACTGTCACAGTTTCTGTCATGCATACATGACATTCGGTACAACTGCTCAGGACTTGCTACCTTTGCTGGCTGGTTGCAAATTCAGAGGGACTGTGTTTTTTGGTCGAAAAATCTCTCAATTTGCTACCTCCTTGCTAA